AGCGTTCATGAATCCAATCGCGGATCTGTTGTATTCCAGGGAGGATCTGCGCTTACAGCAGGACCGCGCCGGGCGCCAGGAGCGGAGAGCCAATGAGTTACAGCGAATCCTGGACAGCGTCAGAGCCAAAGTCCGCAATCTGGAAGACGATTTCATCGCTAAAATGCGTCAGCAGCAGACGGAAATGACGAGTTTATTACAGGAGAAGAAGGTGGTGCATGTGAGTTACACTTCTTGTCAGTTTGTTGTCCCCGAGCCGCCGCCTGTACATCACAAACCTCATACAATCCTCCAGCAATGTCTTTGCTCTCGGCGGTTGAGACAAATCTATGAATTGTAGTAGACGTGACTCTCCCGGAACCAGCGCTGGGTTTAGGATGAAGTTCTGGAATGTGACTCTCCCGGAACCAGCGCTGGGTTTAGGATGAAGTTCTGGAATGTGACTCTCCCGGAACCAGCGCTGGGTTTAGGAGGAAGTTCTGGAATGTGACTCTCCCGGAACCAGCGCTGGGTTTAGGAGGAAGTTCTGGAATGTGACTCTACCGGAACCAGTGCTGGGTTTAGGAGGAAGATCTGGAATGTGACTCTCCCGGAACCAGTGCTGGGTTTAGGAGGAAGTTCTGGAATGTGACTCTCCCGGAACCAGCGCTGGGTTTAGGAGGAAGTTCTGGAATGTGACTCTCCCGGAACCAGCGCTGGGTTTAGGAGGAAGTTCTGGAATGTGACTCTCCCGGAACCAGCGCTGGGTTTAGGAGGAAGTTCTGGAATGTGACTCTCCCGGAACCAGCGCTGGGTTTAGGAGGAAGTTCTGGAATGTGACTCTCCCGGAACCAGCGCTGGGTTTAGGAGGAAGTTCTGGAATGTGACTCTCCCGGAACCAGCGCTGGGTTTAGGAGGAAGTTCTGGAATGTGACTCTCCCGGAACCAGCGCTGGGTTTAGGAGGAAGTTCTGGAATGTGACTCTCCCGGAACCAGCGCTGGGTTTAGGAGGAAGTTCTGGAATGTGACTCTCCCGGAACCAGCGCTGGGTTTAGGAGGAAGTTCTGGAATGTGACTCTCCCGGAACCAGCGCTGGGTTTAGGAGGAAGTTCTGGAATGTGACTCTCCCGGAACCAGCGCTGGGTTTAGGAGGAAGTTCTGGAATGTGACTCTCCCGGAACCAGCGCTGGGTTTAGGAGGAAGTTCTGGAATGTGACTCTCCCGGAACCAGTACTGGGTTTAGGAGGAAGTTCTGGAATGTGAACACTTTGGTTGCTTCGTGTGACCTAAAAATATTTACCACTTGCAGTCAGCAGATGGCGCTGTGTTCAGGGTCAGTCCTATGTAGAGGGAATCCTGTTCAGCTCTCCTC